TAAAGGGGTAAGTGTTTGTAGTGATAGGTGTTTGAATGCACAAAGAAGACCCCTCATAAATGTTTGTAGTGATAGTCGTTTGTGAAACTGAGCCTATGTTCTTGAAGACAATTAATTGTGAAGGTGAGTGCAAGGATAAATTTTACACGGCCAACTTACTTATTGATGCAATTCGGGATTTAGGTCCATGAAATGTGGTTCAAGTAGTCACTGATAATGCTTTGATTTGTAAGGCGGTCAGACATATTGTTGAGGCAAAGTATAAACACATTTTTTCGACACTATGTGTGGTCCACACCCTCAATACTTTGAAGAACAGATGCTCACCCGTGCTAAGAAATCTTGAAGTGTATGAGCTATGTAGTTGAATTTCAATAATCTCAAGTAATGCATGATTTATGAAAAAAAAAATTATGAACCATAATATGAGGTTATCCATGTACAATGCTCATTGTAAGTTGAAGTTGCTCTCCGTTGTCGAGGCACGATTTGCTTCTACAATTGCTATGCTTAAAAGATTGAAGCAAGTAAAACAAGGCTTAGAGCAAATAGTTATTAGTGAACAATGGGACATGTATAAAGATGATGATGTGGTGAAAGCAAGAATGGTGAAAGAAAAAATATTGGATGAGTGCTTTTAGGTTGACATTCATTACATATTTAGCTTCACTTCTACAATATATGAGATGCTTAGGTTGAGTGACACGGATATGCCTTGTCTTCATTTGGCTTATGAGTGGTGGGATAGTATGATAGGCCAAGTGAATGGAATTATATATAGGAATGAGCACATGCAACACAATCAAGAGTTAAAGTTCTTTAATGTAATGCATAAAATTTTGGTGGATCAATAGACCAAGAGTAGCACACTACTCCATTACTTGACACACTCTCTAAATCCTAAGTAAGTCATTACTTTAGTAAATTTAAACTTGACTTTATCATTATAATTTTATAATTCTTATGGTATATACTTCTTTTTAGGTATTATTGCAAGGAATGGCTTGATATGACTCATAATCGTTTTCATCCATATAAAGACATAGACATTACAAGAGAGAGGAAGAAAATGTATTGAGTGATACTTTTCTAATGAGTAGAGTGAAGAACGGTCAATGAGGAAAATGCCTCTTTTTGGCATGTATTAAAGATTTTTCATGTAAGGATTCTTTGAAAGATAGAGGTTTAATGCCTTCGGTAAAATGGTGGGTTATCCATGGAGCTTTCACACCAAACCTCTAAACCATAGCATTGAAGCTACTTGGACATCCTTGTTCCTCATCTTGTTGTGAAAGAAATTGGAGCACTTATAACTTTATACACTTTATTAAGAGGAACAAGATATTGCCACAAAAAGCCGAAGATTTAGGATTTGTGCATAGCAATCTTCGTCTCATATCAAGGAAATGAGTCGAATATAAGGAAGGAGACACTCATATGTGAGATGTTGGAGAATATGCATTTGATTCCATGGACTTGGATAATGTCAGAGTGCTTGAAATTGCAAACTTCTCTTTTGATGAACCGGAATTAGAAGCTATCATATTTACTCGTGATGAAAATGATGAATGAAGTTAAAGAATTGGGAAGTGGCTTCTCAATGTTTTAATTTATTTTATGTTGCTTTTTTATGATTTGAATAATTCTGTGGAGACTTGTATTTTGTTTTTAGTTTTATGTTTTAAACTTGTGATGGATATTGAATCGTAATAATATGATTGATACAATATTTATTTTTGTTATATGTACTAACGAATCCTAGTTTTTTGAGTTTTGTCATATTAACGAATTGTATTGTATCAGCTTACTCATACCTGCACCCGTGCAACATAGCTAGAAACTATATCAGGTCTATCCTCTGGCTTGTATCCAGGTTTCCTATCAAGCTCTCTTACAATTTCAAGCCATTTGACATTGCAAGTGAAAGTTATAAACAAAAATTTTCATAGCATCTTGAAAATTATCAAGCATGTATCTAGTGCTTTCAATATATGAGCTAGGCAATATCACTCTTTGTCCTACATTATTGGCATCATTATCACCCTTTGGAATTGCATCATAAATACCTTTATAAATCTCACTTCTCAAATTTTTTTGATTTTTTCTAATGTAATTTAATCGATCTTTTTCAGGTGTTGCATATGAATCTACTAGAAATTGTTAGAATAACCTTCTACCTTTTAACAATGTGTACAATTGAGGCTATCAAACAATGCATAGTTTTTTTAATATAAAAATGAATAGAAAACTAACTTGTAATTAGAGAAGCTATCAAACACTTCCAAAAATAAATACACAAATGGAGGACAACATCACTTATCCCAAATACAAATACAAAAATAAAATGAAACAACAATTAGGTAAGAACAACAAAAAACAACAAAAAATCACTTGAAAACAACAAAATACAAACATACTTTACTCCAGTATTGAACGATGGTCACCAAATTTTTTCCAAGTATTAAGCCCCATAACCAACCAAAATTAGTGGATAAAAGCCTTAGCAACTATACACATACTAAAACCACATTAGTTGTAGATATTGAGCTGGCTTAGGGCTTAAGAAACAAATCAAATTAAGATTGCAAACTCAGAATAATCAAAAAGAAATAAAGCTTGAAAAAATCAAGCCATAACAATACAAATAAAACTCTCACAAAGGAGAGATGAAAAGCTTCCACAAAGGAGAGATGAAAAGCTCTCACAAAGGAGAGGTAAAAAGTTCTCACAAAAGGAGAGGTGAAAACTACACAGAGAACCCAAAGAGTCTCTGTGACTTATTCCAAACATAAAAAACATTAAAAGGATGGTGGTGGAGATCCAATGCCGAAACGCAGACACCGAGACATAACCGCCTATAATGGTTGGAGGAAAATCATAACAAAACAAAGACAAATAGGGAAAACCTTTTGTCTCTAAAAATGAAGGGAGAAGAGAGGGAGGAAGAGAATAGGGGAAAGGGGAGGAAGAATAGTGGCTTCCTCCTCCCTCAAAGTGAAAATGGCTTTAGGAGGGTTTTTTTGGGAGAGAGGGAGCTAGGGTTTGGGAGAGAGGCGAGATAGGATTTCTAGTCCGCCTATATTCTTAATCTGAAAACAAGTTTAATTGGTAGCATACAAAAGTAGTTGTTTATTCTTTAAACACCAATCATCAACTAATTCACTTTAATTGGTTATATTAAACACCATTAAAGTGTTAAGATTTGTTTTAAAATTATTTATTTAAAAATAGTTATTGCTTATAGTTAGGAGATTAATGATACCTAGACTGTAGGAGAATCCCTAGTTTGTAGGAGTCATGGTTAGTATGGGTACCCATGTTTATTTTCATGCTTTTAATCGTGGATTGTGGCTCCACAAAATCTGCTAAGTAACGATTATGTTACTTGCAGCAGTAGCTTTGTTTTTCCTATTTAAGGTGTACTCTTACGTTCAGTTCAATTTATCAAGTTTGAAGCTTTCGGCCATAGCTTTTGTGTTCAATGTTTAAGCAAGCAAATTATATATATACTAAAACTGAGTTCACAATTTACTGTTCCTAAGCTATAGCTTAGGAATAGTGAAGTGACGGTTTTGCCCCTGCTTAAGTGATGATCTGCTTTCTTGAGTTGACTTATGAGTAGTGAATTAGCCATTTTGCCCTCCAGCCATGTTCTCTTCTCTTCGTTGGAGTCGCTGAGAGAAGGAAAACCTCTTCTCCTTTATCGCAGCCCTTTCTCTCTCTCTCTCTTCTCTCTTCCTTTCTCTCATCCGCTGCGAACATTTCGTTCGCTCCGAAATTTCTTCATCGTTCTCATTGTTTCTTCCTCTTTCATTTCATCGTTCTTTGTTTAGGTTCTTCAATGTCCATCTGGAGGCTTCTACTTTTTTACGGAGACATCTACTTTTCCTTTTGCTTTTCAGATTCAACAAATTCCTCTTTGTTTCAACCTTTCTCTCTCTTCTTTTCCAGTGAAATGACTTGGTTAATTAGTTTTTGCTCTTCTCGTTTGCTCTCCTCTCCTTCGATTGTAACGACTTGGAGCTTTCGTTCTATCAAATGTTGAGTTCGCTTCTAACCAGGTTGGTTGGCTTGGTTGCGGGGCAATGATGGAAGAGGCCGGTCTATTGTTGGAGATTATTTGGAGGCTTCAACTTTATAGGAGTGGCGTGCGTTGGTCTTTTTCTTCAGATCAAACTCCAGCTTTCTCTCTGTTTCAGTCTCTTTCTCTCAGTGATCTGTAAGTAAATTTTACTTCATCTTTCCATTCGATTTTTGTTGCTCTTCTTTTTCATTTTTGTTGTTACTAATATCTTGGATATTATTTGATTAAACTATAAGACCTATTTTAATTTGCTGCCCTAAAAGTCCAAATCCCTAATTTTTCCTCATAGTGGGTCTGTGTTATTGATTTGCAAATTTTATCCAAATACTAAAATTGATTTGATTGTGTTATTATTTTGATGAAATCAGGTTAAACAATTTAGTTATTAAAATACTATATGATTGCTTTTGGTAAGGTTTTCTGTTTGGTTATTAAAAATTAGTTAGTAAACCCTGAAAATCGGTATTTGGATATGCTGGTTCTTTTATTACAGGTTTATGATAGCTCTGTTTTAGTAAGCAGGATATGCTGCTATTTGGGTAACTCAGTTTAAAGATATGTTCGTTCTTTTACTACAGGGTTTTAATTCAAATCCGTTCTTATACTGGTTTATGGGACTGGGGATTTGAATTTGATAATTTTTGTTTTGGTAAGGGAAAGAAAATTTGGGAGTGTGATTCTAGGAACTGATTGCAATGTTTTAGCATAGTTGACTTGAAGAAGACTGGTTTGGGAAATATGTGGGATTTGAAAATCTGATTTCTAAATTGGAATTCTGTTTGTGGACATTAGTGATGACGAGAAAGAATTCAGAAAAATTAAAATTCATAAATTTTTTTGTTTGTGGATTTGATTACCAACCTGATATTTGCTGATTTTTGTGTTGAATGGAGACTTATTGAAACTAAAAAAAGTTTGTATATCCTAATTTCAGAATGCAGAGTTTGGTTCTATTGATTTTTCCCCTTTCATGGGCTAATAATTTGGCCATGCTTTTACTCTTTGCAGTTGCTAGGGACTGGAATGGATACGCAGGATACATCTCCTTCAGTGTTGCTATTCTTTGACAAGCAAAGATTTATATTTAATGCTGGAGAGGTAAGGAACTCAATTACATACATTTTCCTTGTGGTTTCTTTTCGTACAGATTTTGCTCAAGCTAATTTTTTGGTTTAATGAAAAGATTGTGCATGCATAAAATACTCAAGCTAATTTCTTTGCCGATATTTATGTTTTTTCATTGTGCATGCATAAAATACTCAAGCTAATTTCTTTGCCGATATTTATGTTTTTTCTTCCTTTTTCTTCTTCTTTTTTTTAAAACCATGTTTTCTTTTGATATTTTGCAGGTGGTCTTTCGTTGCTTTGGATAGAGCGGTTTGGTTGGTGTTTACAGTTCTGTTAAGCAAGCGGTGAGTTTCTAGGCTGAAATTTCAATTAATTGTTTTAAGTTTTGTGAATAGAGCATAGGAATTAGCTAATGGTATCAATTGACAATTGGTTGGTGTTAATTTGTTGTTGTAATGATAGGTTTAAAGGATTACAATATTTGAACATGTTGGTAAATCCTTTGAGTGTTTTGGCAACTGGGTAGTTGAGATGGTCCCTGCCTATGTTCATCGTTTTATACACATTTCACGCAATTTTAAAACCTGCAGCATCGCGCGGATACCTGTTGCTATTATTCTTAAAGTTTTAGTTTTATCTAACATAAAGAATATATTAGTTGTGAAGTTGGAATATTGGTTACTAATTGGAAATCCAATTGAGTATTTGTCACACCACTTATATACCATTAAATATCAATTAAATAAATATAAATATTAAAGTGATACATTATACCAACTGAATAGTACAAATTCTATCCAAACTGTAGTTCATACATGGCCTAACAAAGCCTACATCTATTACTCCTAATCCAAGGCTTCCTCTCATCCGAACACACAAAGGAACTATTAGCTCATGCATAACTCAGCATGACCAAGCAACAATTAGCTCATGCTTAGGTTAAAATGACCAACAATTTCGTGGGCTCATAACTTGGGTTTTCCTTTAGTAAATGACGACTTTGACCCCTCCAACTTGAAGTCCAAAATATTATATTTCCAACTACATGTCATTTGGGCCAATGCAAGGTCAGATGAAGATATAAAGTCCGAAACAAGTTGCTAACTCAGTATCTAGTTTTGCACCTTTTTGCATCATTTTACATATTTTTTCTATCCAAAGCCACCAATGCTACCTAAAGCTCAATTAACTGAATGACAAATACAAAAGAGATTTAAATTTAAAAACATAACTAAATCATAAGCTAGAAGGGTACAAAATGATATACAATTATCAACTAATCAATGTACTGCCATACACACCCAGACATTAGACTAATTATGGTTGGCCTACTGCGCTTACCAGGACAGATTTTATTTATACATACCGGATTACTGGAGTGGGACCCTCCATAACATCAAGCGACCAAGTATGCAATCCTATAGTTGTCAATTTGTAGTAATTGCATTCGCAAAATTATTAGTGGAATGCAATCGGATTTACATATCCAATTAGGGTCTCTTGTTTTGACAATTGATGCGAAGCATGGAAATGAAAGTATGAACGTAATTTGTGACAAAAAAGAAGAACCTCATTTACATAAACTTGTGGATCCAAATTGAGAGGCAATAATTGCCAACTCGATAGCGATTGTTTGCAATCACGAAAATATTTGGTTGAATCCAATTAGGTCTTCCCATTTTGGTAGTTAAATCAAATTACAAAATGAAAATATTAATCCCAATTGGATACCTCACTCATGATACTATTTGCAAAAGGTAGAAGAAAAGTTCATTGAACTCTCAAAACATGGTGGGCTTATTTATACTCACTATGGCTTAAGAAACTAGGATTCGATATGCCCAGCAATCTCAAAAATTCAATCACTTTTTCACATGAGTTTGGCTTCCATGAAGATGACGACCATGAAAAGTCTAATAATCACCTTAGTTCCATTAGCCCAACGATCACCTCAATTCCAACAACCCAGAGACGACCACAAAACAAGATCCGACAAAGCCTTAGATCATGAATAAGACCCACCACTAGATGAGCTACATACCTACTCTCTCAATAGTGCCAGTGCAATGATAAAGCTAGCAAAACGAGTTCTAATAGATAAGAAGAAGAGCCAAGATCGAGTTTTAATGAAGAAGAAGAAGAAGTGTCAAGAGCGAGCATGACGTGATTTTCACATTTTTGGTTTTCACTTTTTCTTGTTCTAGCGTGGTTTTTTTATATATAAATATATTTTAATTTTAACCTACAATAACATGTTTTCAAGTTACCCCAAATTGAATGTTGTAGATTAGCCTATATATGTTTTTCTCAATTCAATGGTCTCTATCATTTGGTGTATCCGTACACCAAAGGATTGTAGAATTTTCCTAGGATTAATAGATGTATGTCTAAAGCTAAAAAAGAACATGTTGATGCTGCTGAAAAATCAGGAATACCAATTAAGGCCATTATGGAACTAATGAGTAGCTAAGTTGGGGAATGAGAGTATCTTGGATTTTTGGATAAAGATTACTGAAATTACATACATAAAAAGAGAAAGACGAACATGGAAAAGGGAGATGTTGGTGCTATATTGCAATATTTTCAGATTGTGCAGTTGGATGATTTATTTTGGGCTTCATGAGGATGATATGATCGCAGATATATTTTGAGCTTCATGAGGATGATATGATCGCAGATATATTTTGGGCTAATTCACGTCATGTAAGTGATTATGGCATCTTTGGGGATATTGTTTGCTTTGATATGACAGATCGAACAAATGAATACGGTTGACCATTTGCACCATTTTTCGGGGTTAACCATCATAAGCAAACAATAGTATTTGGTGTAGCTTTGTTGTATGATGAAATTGCAAAATCATTTAAGTGGTTATTTGAGACTTTCCTTGCAGCGATGTTTGGAAAGCAACCAAAGACAATTCTAACATATCAATTTGTTGCAATGGCTAACTCAATCTTACATGTATTTCCTGAAGCTTCTCATCAACTTTGTGTTTGGCATGTGTATCAAAATGCCACTAAGAATTTAAGCCATGTTTTTCATGGATAAGAAGAATTTGCTCTTGATCATAGCACATCTGTACATCATCATGAGGATGAAAATGAGTGGTTATTAACATTTTCAACACAAGAAAACTCTAATATGATGACAAGTTTGCAAGAAAAAATTTCTTTCACTCAACTACTTTATGTAGGTATATATGCTAAATTTACCCTATTAACTTGAAATTTGGGTACTTAGTAGGAACAAGTACATATTGATGTTTTTTCCCAAGATAAATAAATGGGTAAAGAACTGGGAAGTTGAGCAAGATCCTTTTGCATATTTTGTTGGATTTTTTTGGGTAGTGCAACATATGAAATATATTGGAGCAAGATCCTTTTGCATATTTTGTTGGATTTTTTTGGGTAGTGCAACATATGAAATATATTGGTTGCATTATACTTTTTTTTTTTGTAATTCTTTGTGCAACCATAAAATTTTAACATATGAAAATTACACAAGCTCTTCTTCTCTAGTGCAATGATACCCTAAACCAACATATGAAATGAGATCATACTTGTACATTTTGTGTATGGGAATTGAGTTAATAGAGGTTGCACATTTTGTTTTTTGGATTGTGCAACATCATATAATTGAAGGGTAAAGGTTGTACATGTACTATTGTTGCTTAATTGGTGACAACAAAATGTGGTGACATTTTGGCTGCATCCCATAATATTGCCTCTCTTGTGCATGTTTAGAATACTGTTGGAATACTTATGAGTTCTTCTTTCATCTTGACACTTCCACGGTTGGAATGCTCTCTTTCATCTTAATGAAAAACGTATCACTAGTGACCAAAAAGAAAACCTAAAACCATAGCATATATTTAGAATTTGAAAGCATTTAAAAAACATGAAAACAAACAAAAACATTTAACCACAACTTATATTAGACATTTCTTTGAATAGGTTGGCTGCAACCTCTACAACCTATACATTTAATTTACTTTAGCAAAAAAAGAAAAACCAGTTAGCTTGCAAGGAGAGGAGAAAATTATATAACAAATTAAATAGCTTTTTACTTATTTATCAACATAAGTTTATTACAAGCAAACCACATTAATAAAACAAAATGAATTTCCACATGTCTTTTTATCACACCCAATTTGTGAAATTGACTCACCGTGCATTATCAACATAAGTTTATTACAAGCAAACCACATTAATAAAACAAAATGAATTTCCACATGTCTTTTTATCACACCCAATTTGTGAAATTGACTCACCGTGCATGGTCGATGAGTGAAAAAAATAAAACGTCACCCACCCAATCCACTATTCAAATGACTTTTCACACTCAATTAGTGAAATTGACTCTTTTCACCCGCGGCCTCTCATCAACTCTCTCTCTCCCCCATTAGTCATTTTAGTCATTGAGTCGTTTCAGCGTTTCATTCTGTTCTAGGGTTTCTTCCACCCTCTCTCCGCCTTCTCCAAATCCCCAAACTCCATGGCCGAGATCATGAACTTGCCGGTAGAGTCCTTGGACCGCCGTCGCGACCGCAAAGAGAAGTCCTCCGAAGACCCCCAATCTTCGCCCCAGCAAGAAGCACCGCCACCGCCACCGCCCCCTCCGCCCACGCGAAGGCGCGACAGGGACGAAGGTCGAGACGATAGGGACCTCGACCGCCCTCCGAGTCGCCGGCCCGACTACTACGATCGAAATCGTTCTCCTCCGCCTCCGCCTATTCGAGATAGGGAGAGAGATAGAGAGAGGGGCTATAAGCGTCGGAGCAGCCTCAGTCCTCCTCCTCCGTACAGGGACCGAAGGCACTCGCCGACTCGGAGGTCTCCACCGCCGCCGTTCAAGAGGTCCAGGAGGGAAGATGGAGGGTACGAGGGCAGGAGAGGGAGTCCCAGAGGAGGGTTTGGTCCTGGGGATAGGAGGTGAGTGTGTCTTGATGGTTTTTCCTGAGTTTTACTGGTGATCTTGGATGAGTGCTTTTATTTGCTGTTAGTTTACTGAGAGATTGTGAGGGAATGACTTGAGTAGGTGCAAATTGACGCATTGCCTGGAGATTTGAGAACATAAGCTGTGAATTGTCCCCCAACTACTTCCATCTATAAGACCCATATATCCACTGCGAGAGTTTTGCTGCATTTTGATAATTGAATCCTATAACAATGTTACAGGACCATACCTCTTAAAGTGAAGTCATGGCACTGAATACATTGCCTCTATTTAATCTTTGGTGAAGAATAGAATACAAAAGGCATCTATTATTTGATTCATAGAATTTCTTCTTGAGGGGTTTTGTTTTAAAATTCAGATCCGAATATTTTGTTTTATGGATACTGGTCATCATTTGGACGATAGAATGATAAGGTCGTTGTGTTTGCTGTGATATTGTTCTTTTTGTTTATGTGAGAATTGTGTATTGCTACGTGTGGCTTGATTTTATCGTGTTTTAATCATCTTTGTGGCATTATCATGAGCTATCCCATTGTAACCACTACTTTTTGTCTGATGAATTATGATTTATGTATTGGTACAAACTATAAGAGACTTTTAATGGTGAGAGATGTTTTGTATGAAATACCTTGCAATTCTGATTGATTCGTTGAAAAATTGTAAAAGCTTGAAAATTAGAGAGGTTTCCATCACTTGTCCTTAAAAGTTAAATGGTCTATACAATTAGAAGGAATCATGAAATCAAAGTAGCATATACACCTGAATAAGAGTGATTTTGTAAAATTGGTACCTCTAATTTGTTCTTAGAGAAGTAGGGGGTAAGTTGGTATTCTGTTTGTCATAACCAAAAGTTTTCCTGTATTCTTACTACACTTGCAATTTATTAAACATGCTTATGCAAGTAAATATTTCCTTGTAACTAATAAATATAAAAAAGGCCTTAATGTTAGATGAGGAAGGGGACCTGAAGGTGTCTCTTGCTGTAGATGCACCTTTTGTTTTAAAAAAATACCACCATTGCTGTAGTTCCATTTATGGTACCTTTTAATGCTTGTATTTTCTCTCAGTTGCGTATATGTAGGAAATTTTTGCATATTTCTAAGTATCAGTTTATGGTTGGTTTTCCTAATATATATGGTTTGAAATATTTCGCTTTATATGGTCTCCCTGTGTTGAACTTCCTTGAACGTTGTTCCTTTAATCTTTTTATGCATAGGTTTGGATATGATTATACTGGATATGACCGTGAGATGGGGGGTAGACCTGGTTATGCTGACGAAAGACCTCATGGTCGGTATGCTGGACGGTCATCTGGTGGCTATGGTCCTCCTGGTACGTTCCTAAATGTTTTTGCAGTTTTCTGTGGGTTTTTTGTAGTTTTAATATGATGAAATTCTTATTCGTTAATGTACTTAAGAGAGAGCCAATTAAATAGTTGTAAGATTACGCATGATAAGATACTTTAACAAGTCTTTAATCTTTAAAGTCACGTAGTTTTCTTATGTGGTGAATTCTGGATGGGAGGTTCAGTGTTGAAACTGAGTTTCTTCAAAAATTGAACCATCTAAGATGACATTGTGTTACGGAAGGCTACACATGTTTTAGCTAGCTAATTGGATGGCACAAGAGACACGATAAATATGGAAGCTTTGGCATGGTTTGTCTAGTTGTTAATCACTGCAGCATTAGATTACTAAGTGGTTTAAGTGTTTTCCTTTTCCTTTCCTATATGTTGTAATGGAGATATGGGTCCTTGATTATTGTAGAAGGATGGATATGGTTTACATGTGTGTTGCTCATATTTCTATCTTATACGTAAACTTTTCATTTCAGTCGAGGTATTTTGAAGAGTAATAGTCTGGTAGACTATTCTTTCTAATTCAAAACGTTCTGTCTGTGTTATGTATGTTGCGGGCCAGAAACATGATTAATGTTTGACTTACGTTTTTGCTTGGCTTCAAATCATGACCAGCTTCTAGGTTACTGGCTCCTTTAGATAGTTGACTTCTATGCCTAATTTAACTGGTTCACCTACTTTCAAGCTCTCTTGACTTGTGCTGCAAGTTCATTTTTGGTGAGTTCCGTTGGCAGTTTATGCTGAAAATCATCGTGACATATCGGGAGATACATAACAGGACTAATAATGTGTATACATTTCTTTTTGACTTTTAATAGTATTTGTTTCTCACTGTTCAGAAATCTAGGGTAGATCCATCTGTTTTAGATAAATTGGTAAATTCTTCATTGTTGGTGGGTTTGGTACATTGCTTGGTGATTTTTGGCAATAGATAGATTGATTTTATCAGTCATATACAAATCGATACACATATACACATGTTTATATAATATATATTTGCATATGAGTTATCTACTGCATGTCCTGCTGGATCACCCCTGATAAAGAGAGTTTTTTTGGGGGCGGGTGGGGTTGCTCCAGCATGCAGTCACTTATGTGGGACGACATACAGGAAATCATTTGATAAGCTTCTTCCTGTTTCTCAATGAGGGTTGCTGATCAAGACAGTTCCTGATAGAAAAGTTTTGTGTGTTTGTGCTTGTGTGTGTATGTGTATATGTTTATAGTTATAGTATGTTTATATTCATTTTTTTGGATATAAAAAGTTATATACTTGACCAATTAATTTTGACATGGTGCCAAGTTTGATGCCATAAATTGCCCCATGTTTTAAGGTAAGCCCAGTTTAATGTAAACATATATGTTCCCATGATTATTGTCTTTCTAGGTAACAATATTTCCACAAATAGCTCAACTTTAGTATTTTATGAACCTCTTGTTGATCGTGTTATTCCGTGAGGTGCTAATGCATTTTCTGTAACCATTTGAGATTATCAGTAAGAGCAAATATGAAGACTCGAAAAGGGCATTTTTCTTTTGCTGTTTGATGCTTACTGGTTGGTCAACCTTTTTGTGATGGTAGTATTATTGCTTTCTTTTGGGAACTTGACCTCGGACTACTCCTTAATATTTTCGAAAGTGTTTTAAGGATTGCGTTAAGGCTCTAACAGTTTTATTCATGTCCACCTTCTGGGTACATCCCCTTTTCACCTTTATTGCGGACATATGAAATTTATTTTATGATTAGGAGATGGTGGTGAAGAAAGTACTGGCAAAATTGGCACATTCTCAAGAAGTGGTTGTAAAATGATATATGGGATGTTGTTTTGAGATCTACCTATTAGTTCTGTTGAATGCTTTCTAGGGGTCGCGAGTGATTAGTGTTGGTGGAGGTGGCTGGTAGTATCAATATTTTCCTTAAATTGATTGGTGTTGTTGTTGAATGCTTGCCGAGGTGCTGAGAGACTGGTGTTAGTAGTGCTATTAAGTCAAGGATAGCTTTGGTGTTCATGAGACTTTCGTGATCCTTACAACCCAGATGCTTGTATGTTAAACATGATTTTAGGGATTTTATTTGCATTTATCATTCACATCTACGGTATGTAGGTACAGATTCAAATTTTACTGTAAACTTAATTCATATTTTTGGTTTATGGTTGGATATCTGTTTGATGGTGATGTAATGTATTTTTTGCCTTAACGCTTACAAATTTCAGTTTTAACTTTTAACTTTTAAATGATCAAATATTTTATATATTTTTAATTATATCTTTTCCCTTCTTCTCAGACTGGGATTCAGGACGCGGTGGTTTTGGTGATGCTTCCAGCACTGGGACTACCCAAAGGTTAGGATTTGATCTTGTACATTAGTTCTATTTCTTTTCAATAAATTCCCTTTAATTTATTTATCATTTCTTGTTTTGTTTGGTACGTTTATGATATTATTCTTTGCAGATTCGGAATGAAAAGTCAAAATCCTTTCTATTGTTTACTTATTACTATTGTATAATACATAGCTAAACAATGTGTTTGGCATAGTTTATCTGTTTAATATAGTGGGTCCTGCTTATGCAGGCCATGACCAAGATCATGTTTATTCTAGATGAGTATGAAATTTTGAAATATCAGTAATTTGGAGGAAGCCATAAATTGGTTCTTGGTGCATAAGCTAATCCACTCTGTCATCTGTCTTTGGCTGAAAGGAATTTAGTTTTTCAGTTTTTTAGTTTTTTTAGTTTTTTGGGTATTTCAATGGGCTTAGAAACACAAATTTTCTTACAATGAAAAGAACACACTACAGGCAGCATGAACAAGAAATCCATCATTCAACTGAAACGTAAGCCAGAAGACAAAAGACCTTAAAGCACCTGGTAGAAAACTTCTCCCCAATCCAGTAGAATAACACTAAAAGGAATGCTCGTGAAATATTTTTTCTGAGATGACCAAATAATGTCATAATTTTCGAGCATGAGTTGATCTAAGGCTGTGAAAAATGATATCATAATTTTCTTATCAATAGTGAAACCTAGGTGCTATCTTTCTTTTCTATGGTTTTATAGTGAAATAAAATGAATATCAGCGGGTGTTGTTTTAGTTTTATTTTGTTTAATTTACTTTTTAAATCTGTTTTGCTCCCCCTTGTCTTTCAAATTGCAAATCCACATTTTGAAAAGCTTGATTGTTTATTGCCTCACTTTATTCAATGGAAGCTTGGGGCTATTTTATTTCACTTAGAAATGTGACATACTGAATAATATTTTTCAGAGAAGGGTTAATGTCATACAAACAGTTCATTCAGGAGCTTGAAGATGACATTCTGCCAGCTGAAGCTGAGCGCAGGTACAGAACGGAGTAATGATATTGCTCTATTACATGGTCAACTTATGATTTGTTGAATAATAAGGGAGTGATTTCAACTTATTGATAATGCAGATATCAAGAATACAGGACGGAGTATATTACTACTCAGAAGCGAGCTTATTTTAATGCGCATAAAGATGAGGACTGGTAATTGTGTTTTACATTGTTTCTTTCCTTTGGTTTACATGTGTCATTCTAACATAACTAGCTTTTGTCTGTAGGCTCAAAGACAAATATCATCCCACAAATCTACTCACTGTCATTGAAAGGTGTGCTCTGTTTACATTTTCTATTATTCAATCAAATGAAGTTTTTCCTTATTATGTATTTGAGCAGAATTTTTGTTGGTCAGAAATTGGTTTTTTTTCTGTTGCAATTGTTCATTCAGTTTTGGGTGATTCAGTTTTACATATCTGGTTCTTTCCTTTTCTTTAATTTTAACTTCTTGGATTCAACTGTTATTTCTAGGAGGAATGAACATGCACGAAAAGTAGCAAAAGATTTCCTGCTTGAACTGCAAAGTGGGACCTTGGACTTGTAAGAATTGTCTACACTCTCTGTGCGTATTTGATTCTGCGTCTTGTGTGTATTACAAATTGTTTTTATTTTTTATGCAGAGGCCCAGGTGTCAATTCTGTAGCTCCAAATAAATCAGGACATACAAGTGAACCAAATTCTGATGATGAAGCTGACGTGGGTGGCAAGCGGAGAAGGCATGGCAGGGAACCAAATAAAGAAAATGAACTTCTTTCAGCTGCTCCTAAGGCTCACCCAGTCAGTTCTGAGCCCAGACGTATACAAGTTGACATTGAACAAGCCCAGGCCCTGGTTCGCAAACTTGACTCTGAAAAAGGAATTGTGGAAAACATTTTAGCTGGACCTGATAATGACAAAAATAGAGAAAAATTGCATGGTGGCTCCACTGGCCCTGTTATTATTGTACGGGGTTTGACATCTGTCAAGGGCCTGGAGGGCATTGAGCTACTAGACACCCTTATTACTTATCTTTGGCGCATCCATGGTTTAGATTATTATGGAATGAGTGAGTCAAATGAAGCTAAGGGTCTCCGGCATGTAAGAGCAGAGGGGAAGAGTTCTGACATAATGAGTAATGGAGCTGAGTGGGAAAAGAAAATGGACTTGCGTTGGCAAGAAAGGTTGCAGAGTCAAGATCCCTTGGAAATAATGACTGCCAAGGAAAAGATAGATGCCACTGCTTCTGAGTCCTTAGATCCTTATGTTCGGAAGATCAGGGATGAAAAGTATGGCTGGAAGTATGGTTGTGGAGCCAAGGGTTGCACAAAGCTCTTTCATGCTGCTGAATTTGTGCACAAACATCTTAAACTGAAACACCCTGAACTTGTGATTGAGGTGACTTCCAAACTGCGGGAGGAGCTGTATTTCCAGAATTATATGAAGTATGTTATTTATTTTAAAAAATAAATTAAGCTAGTTGATAGCATGTTTATATTTCTAATTCAAATTGTTATAATGTTTTCTCTATATGATTTTTTACAATATACTTTCATTCGCAGTGATGCAGATGCACCTGGTGGAACTCCTATTATGCAGCAACCTGTACTGGTATAAATTTTTGAAAATTAACGAATTATTGTTTCTGGTATGGCTATGTATGTAATACTTTCCCTATCTATGCAACATTCATACTTGGGATCAAATTGGTAACATGATATCAGTTTTTTACCTCCCTCCTCTTTCTCTATATAATCCAAGGTTTTAATCTGGTTAATACTTGGGATATCAGAAACATACCAGCTGGCTATAGGTTTTTAATTGACTTCTGTTTTCAGTTTCAGTGGATTTTCCACACTGTATTTGTGTTTCCATACAAGAGGCAGATTCAATTTAGTATTCTACTGAGGATCCAATATCATAATGAGTTGAACCATATGATCTATAATTACTCCAAGATAGAAATAATATTTTTAGGAAGACGAAAGCAGACTTTATTGTAGCTTTTACATATGAGTCCCGTTGTGAGTATAGTATTTTCTTTTATTAGAATTCACATGCCATTTTGGTAGGACAGTGGGATTATATGCGCATAGGTGGACCAGATCTGATTTTACTCTGTTAAAAAGTGTTTAGTTTGTATCAGTATCTGCTTTGTGTTGTTTGTATTTCATATGCCATTTGTGAAGGATCCCAGGAAGTGCATGGTTGGACCATATCTAACTTTCTCTAACATTTTCACATGTATGTTCTTTGAAAAAAATAAAATAGATGTAAACAGATGTCTTAAGTTGCAGTAGTCTATTACAAGGACCAAGAACTTAACTTTTCCTAAATATTTTATATATTTTTTAAATGTTATTCAACTTCCATTCATCCATGAATGTCAGTTGATAATTTAATCTTATTGTTAGCATTGTACTTAATTGTTCTCACATTGAATCTGTCATTTGTAGAGGGAAAAACCACAGAGACGTAGGCCAGGTGTAGAGAATAGATTGAAAGACGAACGTGGTAATCGTAGAGAACGAGAAAATCGAGTCAATGGTGGTGAGAGATATGATAGGTCTGATAACATGCAATCAAGTGAATTTCAGTCCAACAATGATGGTCCAGAAGGAGGAAATCTTGACGAACCAATGTTTGATAATTTTGGTGGACAAGGAGTACGTGTCGGTCCTCCTTTTCCGTCAGATATACCCCCACCACCTGTATTGATGCCTGTGCCTGGTGCTGGGTATGTGCACAATTCTTGAACATTTTTTAGTTATGTTTGAAGTGCGATTGGTGTGTCACTCTCTTTTTTCGAGATCATATTATGTATTGGTTTTGTATTGTTTTCATTGCAGTCCACTAGGACCTTTTGTTCCTGCTCCACCTGAAGTTGCAATGCAAATGTTGCGAGAACAAGGTGGTCCTCCACCTTTTGAAGGCAGTGGTAGAAATGTGTGGTCTGGACCCCAAATGAGTGGGCCAGCCCCAATTCTTGCTTTGTCGCCAGCTTTTCGACAGGATCCTCGTCGTTTAAGAAGGTAACTTATGTGTGAAACATCATTGAAGTGGAGGGTGTTCCTAACTGGATCTGGAGTTATGTTTGAGCCAAACTGAATATATATTTGTTTTCTGGTTGAAATTATTAGCGAAGCTTAGTATATTCCTCAACAGTGGTTTGGCTTTGCTGGTTTCCACTTTCCCTTATGTTTTTGGCAGGGAAAAATCTCGTACTATCTCTACCCCAAATGACCATAAATAATTGAATACAACTGGCATGGATTATGAATGCTAAAACGTGTATTATCCCTCATTTTGGTGAGGGGTAGACGTGCTTGGCTAGTTGTGGTTTTCTTTTTATTCTTTTATTTTTCTGGTTGGTTTGTCTTTTTTCCATTATTTCGTGTGAAATTATTTTGTGGTGTATGTCTTTAAGGCTTTGTTTGCCCTATAAGTGTTGGTAAGATTATACCTTTTCTGGCATTATGCATCGTTGCGTATGCCCTATGTGGGTCCCATCTTATGAGGATTTTGTCAGTATTATCTGGTAGTCTCTCGTTTAGGTTTAATTTTCACCCCTTTAGGGGTTGTTGAACTTGTTTGCCAGTTCTTCCATTGTCAAACATGAAGATAGTATATAATATTCGACTATTGAATTTTGAGTGCGAATTTTTTTGAATTTTGTTGTTGATTTTAAAGGCTGTAGACGGGAATTGCTGATTGGCTTTCAATTTCTGCAGTTATCAAGATCTAGATGCCCCAGAAGATGAAGTCACGGTGATAGACTACAGGAGCTTGTAGATATTTTTGTTGGCAGGATGATAAAAGACTCGACTGTCATATTGTTTCCAGGTAAAGGCAACTCCTGTAAAGTCCAACAAGGTTAACCACTGCGACCAAATAAAACAAAAAGAAATGAGGTCAACCACTTGAAATTATTGCATCATAACTGAAGATTCAAGTTGTAGTGAAATCTTGTAGGATACCCTGCTACTCACTTGGAAACCACCGCACTTTTTTGTCGATGATGATACTTCCGGCTGAGATAATATGATAGGGATGTAACTCATGTTTTTCTTTTTAGCTCCACTTGATTTGCTGACAGGTAAAAACGATTATTGTTGAATTCCTGGTGGGAATATTGATGTGTCTTCGAAATCATGTCTCTGTAAATTGAAGTTGTACACTAGATTCCAGATGGTTTTCAATTTGTTTTAATTTTTTTGGGTCATGACTTTCAATTTGTTTTCTGTCCATCGTTTTATCAAGGTAACTTTTGGATTCAGTTGATCAATGATTGATAATCAACTACAGATGAGGTGATTCATTGTGATTTGCGGAAGTTTATGTTTCTTAAGTATAAACCTTTTTTCTTGAAGACAAAATTTTAAACTCTCACGAATAATTTTCCAGCTGAATGACGGTTGTGTACTGATGGTTGGGCGGGCAGTTGGGTCTTAGAGTAGGGTCTACTGCCAATTCCCCAAAGTAAAACACAAGAACCCTTAGACCATCCAAGTGCTGTTTGTAAAAAATGGCATCTCTCCCCCAACCCCCCAAAAACACCAGCCCAGCACCTTGTTGAGATTAAAACACTGGTTGTCGTGACTGAACACCAGAAATGCAACAGCCTTGCCAAATAACTATGCCTAATGAGGTGAGAAATAGGGTTTGGGATCTGGAAGGTTATGGAGGTAGATGTGGCTCATATGTCAACATTCAAAGGAGAAATTCTGGTTGCTTTCGTGTTTGTCATAACTATGCTTTCTGTTTCAAAATCCTTAACCAGATAAACTTTGCTACTACGGGTTCATGAAATCATTGTCACATGATGAAATTTCTCCTCCAAACCCGAAAAACCATCTCTTAGCGGCCATAAGCACATTCATCCTTTACTTAAGCTGCTCATCAGATGAAGCTATACGGCAGGCCTTTTGGAATTGTTCTCTTATGTCACAAACATCTTGTCGAGCTTCTTTCAATAAAATTCACAATCATAGCATAAAGCACCTCCAAAATACACTAGGAGCAGCAAGAATGGCAAAAATACTCCCTTTCTCCGGACCAAGTTCCAGTAAGTAGAAAGCAGAATAAGAGTAGTTTGTGTCAACTACAGCCCCAACTTGCAGTTTATTTTCCTTATCAATTCTGAATAAGGAACATTGGTCTTCTCATACGTTTGTTTAAAAAAATTCATTTTCGACAGACTTGGGTCTGCCCTGCAAGAGTCAGACTAACCAGTGGAATTTCCGGGAGTGGGTTCCGTTCATTATTATAAACTTGTGAAGACATACATGTTTTATTTATTTATTATAAACTTATGAAGACAGTTTTTACATTCTGTGAGATGCATAACAATACTACACAAGAAAGTTGGCATGATATTTTATTCCTCCATATTACTGGCAACAAGAACAGCCGTGCTCTCTGCCAGTAGCAGAGGCCAACCTATAACTTTGTTCCCAAACATCCATGGACGCGGATTGTGCATGAGGGATATGTCGGGGATGTTTTTCTCTCTTGCCTCCCTTTATCTGCTTTAATCCATGCTTGAGGGCAGGCAACAACGCCTCCATGCACTCCGCAACCGCATTTGGATTTCCAGGCATGTTAATGATCTGAATATATGTATATAGTAAGAACAGAGAATTACATAATTAGGGGATGGAACCAAATGATCCATAAGATCCAAATTTCTAAGATATTGAAAATTGACAAATCATTCAACACAAAATAAAAGACTACCATGAGAGGCATGTTCGAAAGATACTTAAGCATCAATGTAACATCAACAATGTTGAAAGGAAACTAGTGCATTTGAATTTGCATGACTTACTATTATTTGATTACTCCGCTAAAGCTTTAGTTTTTCTGCCTTTTATAAAGGACATAAATAATTTATTTCTGTTCTTTTCATTAAAGATCCAATGTCCGCCTTTATAGAGACGACATGATTCAAGTAAATTTAGAAACCACTGTTATGCTTAAAGTTCAGTCATTATGAAGCATTTATCGCAACTGTAAACATTACAACCCTTAAATTACTTCCCATGTTAATTTGAATATTCATCAAACTATAATTAACCATAATCATGATTTCCTACCTACCAATATGAAAGATAAGAATGCAAAATGAGGCCTTACCAATGTTGACCCTCTTATTCCTGCTGCAGATCGCGAGAGCATAGCAGTCGGTGTCACCTGTTTGAAACAAGGAAAAAGTAGAGTTCAAGCTAAACACAACTGTGACGCCAAGTCATCAACATAGGCGATTATATAACCACAAAGCTCACTCAGACGGTTGCAAGTGTGCATCAATAAGATATTAGAATAACAGAAACTAAAGATATTAGGCACCAAACTCCCCCTTAAAAGTCTGCACTTATAAACTACCAAACAGCACATCCATGCTAAAGAGACGTAATAATTTGACTAACTTAAAATAATATTTTCATTCATTATCTAATATTTCAGAGCAGATCCACCTTATTAGTTTTTATCTCCAACTAATTAAGATTGTCAACGAGCAATACAGTCAAAAGACATAGAAGTATACATTGCCATACATATACTCTAAGTATGAAGCTTACTTTTAAACTCTCTTGCATCATGACATGAACAAGACCAGGTGTTTCTCTCTCAATCAACTGTTTGGTCGCTTCCGGGGTTACATCTCGTGGGGTGAAGCCAGTGCCACCTAAATTTGAGAAAATATAACTATTTACAGAATTCAAGAAAAATGTATTAAAGAGGTTCTACTTTACCAAAAGAAACAGGCCAGCTAAAAAGCAAGAAAATCACCAAGGGTGAGGATGAGATCCATTTTATCAATATCACTCCATCTACGGAGAGCATCCTGGATTTGGCTTACATCATCCGGGACCACAGCTGTGGAAACAACCCTAGCTCCTCCCATCCTTTCTGAACAGGAATTTACAACAGAAACTCCCCTTGGACCGCTGCAAATTCAAGAACATTAAAGAAATATTGGATGCAGGATGTAAAACAATGAAGAAGAAACATATAATCTGTTCAAATAAATTATACACAGAATTCAACCAGACTAAAGGTTTGAAACTTCTTCCCAAACAGAGGATGCCTACATATCATTTTTCACATGTCGAAATGCTTGCTGAGAGAGACTTAATTCTATGTTATGTGGTGTCGAGCATGAGTGTTTCAGATACAAGACCAAATGCTGGATTGGATTGGTCTGATCTCCAAAAGGTTTTCCATGTTTTTGGAGTGTTTAGTTACTAACCACAGCCGAGTTTTGTATACATAGGAAGAAAATGTTAAAGTGAAGGTTCCATTAAATTGTTGCAAAGCATATAGTGCATCACATGTTGTACTTTGACAAGGAGCAACATCAGCTTTGCCTTGTTTCTTTGGCATCTATTAAGTGACCTTCTTGAAACAAACATTCAAAAAGGAGTATCTAGACGCAGTTGAGTTTGATTACTGTCTTCCTAACACATGGAAAAATGTAATGATACTGTTTTGTACATTGAGCAACCAAAGATAACCCTACACTCTCCTGGGAAAGAAAAAAGAAAAGAAGCTTATGACTGACAGTAAACTGAAAAAAAGTGATTGGCAATGATTTTCAGTCCAGAAGTGATTATGGAAAAAAAAAAAAAAAACTGAATGTCAATATTTTTTTCTGAAATAAAATTTCCCACCAATTTTAAAAACGATTCCACTGTGAGAAGCTCCTACATATTTTTTGCATAGCATTCACCTTTACATATCAAACTTTGATAATGAGGAACATCAACTGTGCTGTCATTCTAGCATCCAAAAATTGACCTTAAGCAAATAACACAAAAAGGCGAATTCAGATGCAATTAGATAACTGTCAACCTTCCCAGACTTGTCATTAATAAACAATGTTGACAGAAGACTTATTTCACAACTTATTGGGAAAAGGAGTAACAAAGTAATTTCTTTAGGATAAAGGATCAATCGTTAAAAAAAATGTTAAATAAAGACTAAAATATTTCTCAGGAGCATTTTACTTCAAAATTTAAAAAGAAAAGAAAACCAGACATTTAGTTAAACATACTATCTTAAACTCAGGTAACCAAACTACTATGAGCAGCACCCTTATCCAATAAGTATTAAGTATGTGCACAAAATAAAGAGACGGGGAAACAAAATATTCTGAGGGCTTTGTACGTTTTCACCATATGTCAAGTATTACAGGCTATTATCAGAAATTGCCATATATGGGCATGCGTGTGTGTATATATATGTACATAAATATATGTTCTATCTCAACATAAGTAGGTATGTAGATGTAGGTATCATACCTTCTATCAGGCCCAGCCCCTGATGCAACAGTATCACTCACTGTAAGAATAGCTACTCTAAACTCGGCATTCTGGGACTCAGCTACAGTTGTTTCTTGCATTTTAAATCTTTGTAAAGGAGATGCTGAACCTGGTGATGAGGAACTTTTGAAAATAACAGTACTAATATCAGAAATGATGATAGCTGGCACGGAAGTCCCAGCAGCTATTACACTGCCTGTTGCTGGTAACTCCAACAAAGCATTAGCAGACTTCATACTTAAGATCCGACTGCTTCTCTGGTGGCCAGTACTCTCAGCAACAAAGCTGAAATGACAAGGGATAATTCTTGTTTTTCTAAATGTTCTTAGTGCAACTGAGAGGGTTAAAACAGAAGGCACTTCAAGGATCCAATTAAGTCCCAACTCTGAAAGAAACTAAAATGAACAACTAATACAGCAAATTCCTTAAAGAACGTACCCAGGATTTCCAAATCCATCATTTAATTCCCATCTAATGATAGCACGATGGAATTCTGGACGAGCGGGATCTGTCTTTATAGGCTGGAGAAGACGCGCGTGTACTCTATATGTAGAAACATAACAAAAAAAATAAGGATGGCTGTTGTATATATGAGTAGCTTAACAGAACCACTCCAGTAATTAGGGGGACAATAGAGAGAGATTGAGAAAGAAAGAGAGGGATAACAAATAATAAGAAATTCTTCAGAAGTTTCAGCAACCTCAAAAGATGAGGATTTGCCCATCCAGCAAGGCGGCGGATGGTGGGTACCACAAACAAATGGAAGCAGACTAGAGAGCTAACTGGATTTCCAGGCAAACCGAATGCAAAAACTTTTTTCATTGTCATACTCTCTGAAGGTTCAGAATTGATCTCCGCAAAATTCAAAGGTTTCCCTGGTTTCATCCAAACCTGAAGAGCCAGTTAAATACCAAACTAACATGATATCATATGATATATAACTATATCGAACCACTTTTCAGTTCAACACAGCATCACAATTGACATTTGGTTCCAACAACCATCCTACGAGGGTATAAAATTAAAAAGTTTTAAAGGAAAATCTACAAGCAATGACTGCAGAGTCAGTCTACCTTACTGAAATGCACTGTCCCTCTCTTTTGAAATAGTAGTTTGACATAGTCCTTGTCTCCCATGGAAACACCTCCAGATGTAAGAAGAATATCAATTCCAGAGGATATGACAGTATTCATGATATTCTCCAGTACTTCTTCATCATCTCTAGCAATTCCCAAGTCAAGAACTTTGCAATGATGCTGTACTGAAGCTGCCAGTATCATAGCACGGTTGGAGTCCCTAATCTGCACAAGAACTTGATCAGCCGACTTGCTAAACTGTGTAGATACTACATGATAGGTTGCAACATCCTTGATATCAACCCATGCTTATACAATCTAATAAATCCTAAATGCAAAATAATTACTAACATACTAAAATAACTACCCTTATCTCGTACTGTGATGATGACCACAGAACAATTTTTTTTTCTTTCTGCCAATATAATCTCTGAACATTAGTAAGTAAGATCTTGATGAAGCAGGACACGCTCTTATTTTTAAAGGTCAACACTTCCTCATTGCGTCCTTGATCATACTGAAGCCTAAAAGAATCAGCCTAACCCCAAACCAAAGAAGGAAATAAGTATGACTTCATGAACCATTAACCTAATAAGAAACCTAACATTTTGAAGTTTTAAGCTGTGTTTAATATACAATTTTCCGGCTAATAATGGCTTAAAGCTTACATTTAAAAGCCTTGCTCTGGTACCTGTCATTTGTAGACTTTTAAAAACTAAATTGGTCCCTCACTATTTACTGTGAATTTTGTTTTGTTTTGTGTACTACAAAGTCAGAGAAATTAATCATGGGAAGAGAGAGAGAGAGAGAGAGAGAGAGAGAGAGAGAGAATTTCCAATAGCTTACGGTACCTGGCCATGACTTAAACAGCCTGTTGTTGGCTCTACAAGTTCATCTCCCGTGGAAAGCACACCAATTGTTGGGGTGGGATATACCTACATGACATATTAGCTCTCAGTGTCAATCTGTCTTATTTCTTGATAGGAAATACAAGTTTTATTAATAAGACAAATACATGACACATTAGCCCTCAATGACAATCTTTAACACAAAAGTAAATATTTTTAATACCTTCACCACTGTCGCTCCCACAGTAGCAAGCAAACCAATTTCTGAAGCACCAATTCTTTGCCCAGATATCAATACTATATCATCTTTCTCAATATCACATCCCTGGAAAACAAATTTTCAAATAGCTTTTAAAATTTCAGTAGATCAAACAAGCATTGCAAGTTTGCAAAATGTATATATATTTTTCTTATTAGATCATGATAGTGAACCAAAGACAGAAATACAAACGAATATATCGATCAAGGAACCATGCTAGAGAGTTCCAAAAAAACTTGAAATACACCAAACCTTTGTTTTCCACATTTAGCCCTCTGTCAAACCCATAACACGTTAATGTCCATCTTTCTCCCATTATTCAATTGGTGCTATTCAATCAAGTTTATCTACTATAGGAACTAATAACGCTAAGCCTCCCGTGGCCATTTTATCTACCAGTGTCTACCATCAGAAGGAGGTTGTCCTCAGGCAAGTTTGAGGACTGTCTTGATAATTGCTGTATTGCTATTTTGTGGCACCTTTCTGGTTTTGCTCCTTGGAGCAGTGTTTGATTTGCTTTCCTTGGTGGTGGCTTTGGTGCCAGCCTGGAATTTGATTCTTCAAACATAATAGTATAAGCAGGACAAACACTCAAATGTAGTGCAGAAAAGAAAGAGATTCAAGTTTGAGTGTTTGTGTCCTTATTACTCGGAGTCGCCAGTGGTGTTTTCATATTTGGGAATGTTTGGTTGCAGGACTAGTTCTAGTATCTTGGCTTACTTCATTAATAATCACAATCTCGGGGAGAAATCCGACGTGATTTTTCCTTGTTTTGATTCTTGCTTCGAATAGATACTTGATTGAGGTTAGTATGGGTATACTCAGTTGTTAGAAGTCCTTGTCTGAATACGATTTCTCTAGTTGCCCTCATTGTACTATGAGCTGCCTCTATCTAAGGAATTCTTTGTCTGAGAAACATAGAAAACTTAAATTAATGAAATTTCAGATTTTTGCTTCAGGTTAATGGTGAGATGCCATTTAAGTTCCAGGTGAGACTCCTAGGAGGCCTTAGATAAATTCTAAGGTTTTGTTCTTCTTTCTCTACTTCCTATTTTTACCCGGCAAGCGATCCAACCTATTTCAACCCAATTACCACAAATCAAATGAAGTGTTGCCCCTTTGAAATCTCTGGATATGGATGTCCAAAGAGAAGCTAAAATGGCAATTTTACTTCAGATCCAACCAGCTCTTCACTTCTTCCTACTGAAGTCCACACATTTCAAGCAATACCTAGACCTGATTCTGTGCCGAATACACCCTAAAAATCCTATTCTGCAAACCCCAAAACCACCCAAGATGAAAACTAAACGCACCTAAAAAAATAATAATAAAGGAATCAAAATACTGTTCTCAGTACACTGTTCATGGTTGAAAAGACCGGAACAGCAACCATGTGCCTTTCAAGTCTTAAGTCACAAACTATCTAAGAAGCCTCATTTTACCATCAATTCATCCCAAAGCTCAATATATCCTTTAGCATTATATCCTAAAGGTAACCAAATTTATAGTAGGTAAACTAAATACAAGAGTTGTCCCTGCATCACAAAAGCACAGAATTCGGATCCACGAGTGAAAACATCATAAAGTCCTCGTTCCTTATAAAAATTAGAAAAAAAAAACCCTTAACAAATATGTACCTTTGCAACTTTGTTCACAAAGTGCAAGAAACTAGGTCAGCTAATGTGTCTTAACAGTGAAAACATCTATCTATGCATTTCACCATGATATATTTCAGAAAAAGAAAAGTGACTGGATCCATTACAAATGAGATAAGTAAAAGTAAATTATATTAGTGACTCTGTTTATATATAATAATAAAAACTTCGAATAGTGAACATTGTTTGTGTATAAGCATATCTACTCCACTGCAAGGAATTTTGACATTTTAACTCATAACTTTAAGCAAGGAATGATATAATACCACTGGACGAATATCTACTCCTTTGCTTGTTTGTGCCAATATTCTTACTTTCCTTGGTTCAAGTGAAAGCCCTTCAATTTGTTCAGTGTCCTCCACTTGTACAACTGCATCAGCACCATCGGGTATTGGTCCTAAAAGAAAGCACAACAGGAGAACAGGTTAAAGGCAAAAATACCAATACGTCGGGAGCGAGAACGCCTTCAGAAAGAACAACTAATGATGTCTATGGTAGAAAATTTTGAGAGTATGACCAATGTTTGAAAAATCACTTTATGATCACAGAAAAACTGAGCAGTCAGTGAATTCATCGATCCAGGTTTTCTAGAAAGATTATTTACACATGTATATATAAGATGTATAATGCTTTGAAAACTAGTTTTTAGGAATTGTACAAGTAATCTGAATAAACCATGAACCAAACAAAAACATAAATAAATCAACAATAAGGTACAAAATCAAATAATTTATCTAGAATGCACTATCCTCACAGAGTGGCTCATTCGAAATTGTCTAGTGAGCCCGGACTTGACATACTATTTATTTTCTGTTGGAGTACATTACAACACTATAGTAGCTTTTGTTTGTAATTAATTAAATATCAGCTAGATCATTTGACCAAATAATTCAACTCATTAACCATAAAATCTTTAATTTTCTTTCCTCAATATGATATTTGACCTTCCCAAGTATTGCATACTACACAACTAATCACCAAAGAAAACGGGTCAGAAATACAAACATTTCCGAGGCATCCATACAACTGACAAATTAAATCTGTATTTTTATCATATTCAGGGGAAAAAAAAGGCAAACCTCCCGTGGTAACATATGCTACAGTTCCAGGAGTGACAGTGATGCCAAGTCCATCGTCCCCAGCTCTTGCTTCAGCAATCACAGGATACTCACCAGGCCCATCTGAAGCTACCACTGCATATCCATCCTGAGCAAGTCCCCCAATTCATACACAACCCAAAAAGGAAAAAAAACAACTATGTCAACTCAAGCATTCCAATTCTCAAATATATTAATTGAATCCATAAAACTATGAAAACCCATGTTAATTGGTCAGTTTAGAGACTCAAACAGAACACTTAATAGTAAATAATAAGATTTTAAATATACATATAAAAAAACACAAATGGTATTTACATATATTATTCAATATTATTCAAAGAAGTGAACAATTTCAAATGAAACAGTAATGAGTTTCTTTCTGGTAACCTTGATGGAGGCAGGGTAAGGAGGCAAAGGGTCTCTGGCGCGAATGTCCTCGGCCAGCACCTTCCCAAGCGCATCGTGGAGGGGCACGGTGACAGGTGGCAGCCGCTGGACCACTCTCAGCACTGTTTCTAGAGCTTCTTCTACTGAGACCACGTCGGGTTTGGTGCTACTGTCGGTAACTCCGGTTTCTCCTTTCGTCTCCCCCATTTGGGAGTGTCGAGCAACGCAGGGGTCGCTCCCGTTTTGAACAATAAGGTGTGACTGTTGAGCAACGCAGGGGGCGGCTACGAGGTGAGGGTTTATTTTTGGGCACCAAGTTTGACTATTTTATCACCACACCCACATCTCCAAACAAAACATCCCCATCCACTTTTGGTAAATGATCTTTATAAGACATATATATATATATATATATATATATATATATATATATATATGTTACATAGGTGAATCGATCTGATTCACCAAATAATAGTTCTAGAAATATATAGAAAGCTAATTTACAATTAAAGGTGTTATAAATAAAGAAATATCAAACTGCAATAACAAAAAAGCACTTGAGGATACAGGAAAACAAGAATCAATCTAGCTATTCTTTCCAAGGGCGGAACTACATGTAGACTAGAGTGGGCTTCAGCCTGGTGCAAGATTTAATAAAATACTAATTTGGTGCAAATTTTATAAGATATTTCCTACTCCCCACGAATATTAGTCCACCATTTGTTAAGCTAGTTGGCCCACAAAGTCACATACTTGCAATATATTTGTGGTTTGGAGGCCACGTGAGTGGGAACCATTGTTTCTTCTCTTTTCTTCTTCTTCCGATTTACAGGTTAGCATTTAGATCTACAAGTGCAACAAAGCTTTTGTGTTTATGCCTCTGTGTACATTTTTTGGATATGCTACTGCTACGAATTGTACTTTTGTTCGTGTTTCTGCTTCCCACAGTTTCAGTTTCTGATTCCCACTTGGTTCTTACTGTATCAATTAGCATACCAAAAAAAAATAAAATTGGTTCTCATTGTTTATATAGATCTTCTATACAAAAAATTAAAATTAAAATTTTAGCACACCTCTAGAAAAATTCCTGGTTCTGCCATTGATCCATAGCCAAAAACAAGAAGCAGCTCACACTCTGCTTCTAAAATCTGTTGCCCGGAGAAGCATGCAGAGAGTTTAATGAAACTTTCAAATTGCCCATATTGCCCTTATTTGTTTCAAACAATTACATGCTCTATCCTCGTCATCCCGGGTTCGAGCCTCCCAAGTGTCATTTCTCTTGGATTTTCTGGCTTGCTCGATTCATCCTCTCTCTGCAACCTGCTCCCCTTCTCAATCCATCAAAGCTACCATCTCAACCCAAAACCCCACCAACCATCTCCACAGCCACAAAAAATTCAACACCCAGATTACCCACCAGTTTTCTCCTCCAGCAAAAGAAAACCAAACCCCCAACTTCCTTGCCTTCCCCACCAAAACACAACCCGATAATACAATCCCACTATTCATATCCATAGAGCAAAGAGAGAGAGAGGCGGGGATGTAGCATCGACGTCCCAAGCATCATAGCCGAACCCAAATACCAACTCAAGGCTGCCAACATCTCAATCCCCCAGATCTTGATGAAATTTAAGAGATGGATGGATGGAGAGAAAGAGAGAAAGGTGTGAGATGGAAAAGCTTACACTTTTGATATAAATAAAATAAAAAAATAAAAAAGGACTTGCAGAGAAGGGAGATCAAGACAAGGGAGAAGAATGGTCTGTGTCAAAAAAGAGAGAGAAAAGGAGAAGAATTGTCGAGAGAAAAAATAAAGAAAAAAGATGTATTGAAATTTTTATCCTTTGATAAAAAAATATAAAAAAATAATATTTTTTTTGTCATACTCTTTTGGTCATTATACACAATCACAGCACTTCTACAAAAGGTTTACCAAACACCATGACAGTGCTTTTTATATTCACAGCACTTTTACAAATATAGATACCAAACACGTAGTTGCTTCACTTCGCAGCTGTTTATTCTCACAACACAGTAGAATTAGTTTTTTTTAAAAGCACAGCAACACCAAACTAAGCCTATAAATTGGCCATCCTCATGGAACTCGGGCCAGCCTTAGTTGCTGGAACCCGTTTTTCAACCAAAACCCCCCCGCCCGAGTCCAAAACTAGTTGCTAGAAATGCTCTAATGACAGGTGAAAAGGCAACAAGATTGAAGGCATGCATATATGCACTATGATCACTTCAATATCATTGTTCGCCATGATTCATTTTGTGATTGCCAATGATCGCTTTTACAAGAGAGACATGTGATTGCTGACTATACCTACCTCTCCCACTATACCTTTGTGATGTGATTGTAACCTACCACTTATGTAGTAAACTACGTATTTCTAAAGATGAATGAATAACACACAAGACTAGATAAGTGGAAATTCATAGTTGAGCTCTTGAGAATTGTTCTTCCATAATTGTTTTCTCTTGTTCCAAAATCCTCTTAATTTTATAACAAAGTTCTTTTATAGTTGGAGATGGTCTTATAGCCAATGTTTTTTTAATATTTTTTTATAACTCAAATAGCACGTGAACATGCTTCATAAAAAAACAAGTGTGCACTGATTCACCGGGTGGACCGTAGACATTGCCGGTTCAAGATATTGTTATCCAAATCCTTGTCAAAGCATTAAATGGTCGCCACATGTTCTAATACATGTGAACTTCGAAGTAAACACAAAGAGAAACAGATATCCAATATCCTGCGAATCCAAACCATGTGTGTAAAATAAAACAAAGCTTGTTCATTGCAGCAGATCTGCCACACAAAGCGAAGTGGGTTTTTTATTGCACAGAATGGAAATAACTGCTCAGCATCACTTGTCTATTTCCCATACAAAGCTTCCAAGGCCTTCTTCTTCTTCAAGTTTCAGAGCTTCTGCTGCCTCTCTTCTTGCTTCTACTACTTCACTACCTTTTCAGTGCTCCAACAACATTCTCCAAGGCCAAGGTGTACTTAGGATCAAAGGGAAGCAGCTAAGAAGTACATTTGGCCCCATCTATGCCTCCTCCTCTAAGGCTCAAAGTCCTCCTCCACCTCAAAAATGGCTTCTGGAACCTGTTGGTATGCCCAATTCTATTCCCATCATGTTACATGCTATATGAATATTTTTTTTGGAATTTAGGCTATACGATCATCATCAGGGTATTCTTTTTTCAAAATAATCTAACTGTAGCTAGTGAGTTGTGAGTTTTCCAGAAATCTCTGGTTCAGGAATAGCATCGAGAAATCTTTCTTCTTATCTTTAACTTAGCTGACCTTTGCTTGCAGTTCATAATAAACTGAAGGTTGCTTCAGCAATTTAAGTAAACCACCGAAATGAATTATAGAAGTAGTGAATTACTTCTGATGACATGCTTGAAGATTTAAATTTTCCCAGTCAGAAACTACTTGGTTTACTGTTCGTTTTCTTTTCGAGAGAAAGAAAAAGTAGTTGGCTTACTCAAAATTTCATGGTTTTAGCAGCACAATTTCCTGGATGGAATACACTATCTTTAATGACAAGATCATGTCACTTAGTACTTAATATATGTTCTTTCCTTAGTCATTGAACATAGATTTTTTTTTTTCCTTTTTACTCCATAAATTTGAATCTAAGACCTACTCCCACCCCAACCCCTCACACAAGGACTAGTCCAAGTGCATTTTTATATATGGTTGACTTTTGGAGTGTGTACTTAGAAAATCCGGGGAGCAATTATTTTTGGTTAGATTGGAGGAAAGAAACCCCACTCGGGTTTGATCCTGGGTGCCATGGAGGGGAGGGGAAATCCACCATCACTGTGGGGAGCAATTATTTTTAACGTATGATATAACGAACTATTTGCCTTTCTTCTTTCCATTGTTAATTGAAATTGCTTCAATGTTTGAAGTTGAACCTAATACTTCTTTTTCTGAAGGAATTAGCTTACTGTTGGGTTTCATATGCATCATTGGTAATGGCTTTAGTGCATTAATTTGTAAGACCAAAAAGTAAAACCCCTTGGGAGATATGGGAAGATCAGTGTTGTGTGTATGAAGGAGCTTTTGACGATGAAGTCAGTAGCTGAAAGAGTGTAACACTTGAGAGAACTAAGGGAACTAAGTTTGAGTTAAGAATGGTTTTCTAACCCTTATAGAAAGTTGACACCAAGTTTTTCTATATACGCAGTGGAAGCACCTAGAGGAGAATTTGGGGTCTTTCTGGTCAGTAATGGAAGCCTACCGTCGTAAAATAAGAGCACCTGGCTAGTACGTGCCAAGAGCCCTAGTAAGGGAAGAGTTCAGGTGGAAGTTTCACTGATCTGGAGGATGATTCTTAGCCTGATAAAGTTTTATAATCCTTGATATGAAGGGAGGTTTGGAAGGTGATTTGAATTCAAACCTTCTTCAAGGGAGGTTTGGCACTGATCGTGTGCTCTCAATGTTCTATACTATAGAAGGGCTAGACTGCTCTGAGTGACATAGTTTTGCTAGACTTGGAGGGAATTTCGACACTCATCATGCATGCTAGATGTTTTATGCGCTGGGCCTTATTAGTATTAGTCCGCTTTGAGTGACATATATGCGCTGCAACACATTCTGTTCTGCAAAGCTCGCCTTGCTAAGCCATGATAGCATGCCGTGGTAACCTGAATGTTGGCCTTAACTCAGCTTTACTGAGTGCCCTAGGTTCCTACCCGTGTATTAGCCTATTATAGAGTGAGAGTGTGACTGAAATATTGTCCAGTGGCACGCTCTGAGCTTAGAGCAGAAAAGACACCACTGCATCATAAACCCCTATTTCTCTCTATCATTCATTAACTGCATGTCTGGTAGAGTGTGTCCTACACGGTTTATTTCTTAGGTAGGAGTGGTAAGAGCTTTGTTCACCTTACAGGTTACATGTAGCAGTAGCACACAAAAGGAGGTTCCTTTAGAATTTTCAGTCTTCTTAGTTTCAAGGTTACTGGTCTCAATTTGGTTATAATTCATTTTATCTTTATCCCACTTCAATTTTCTCGTATTGCTGCATTTCATCTGGCATGTGCATTCTTTCTTCTTAGCTTTTCGTTTTTGGTTAAGGAGTGACTCATTTTACATATATAATTTCTACCTAACAGGTGATGGAGATACAAGGCATATAGGTTTCAAGGTTCCAATGCCAAGTGCGTTTGAAATTTCTTCTGTAAGTTTTTTTTTCTCCTTTCCTTTTTTCATTTTTTGGTTTAGCATCAGAGGTCTGTTTATAATGATTGCAAAAAAGTTGACTGACTTTTTTTGAATCTAGGATGAGGTGACTGTTGGCCGT